GCTTGTCTTTGTGTAACTCTTAGAGCTTATTTTAGTATCTCGAAGATTCAAAACCCTAAAGTTGAGGTGAGTATGATATCGCCTGAGATAAATTGGATGGCGGTCAGCGTCTGCCATTCTTAGGTCAGAAAGATAAGATCCATCAGATCGTGGAGGTCACCATTTGAGGGTCGCCCGAGCCTTTCCGAGGTGATTGATATGGTCCGGTGATATGTAAGAAATGTGTAAGAAAGCTCAATAGGATGGATTTGAAGTTTTGAAATTAGTTCGATTCGGTAATTTTCTCAAGGAGTACACAATTTTACTCATACCTACCGAGCGTGCAGTACATGCGATTTCCTTGAATAGCAATTGGTACATCTGACGACAGAAAAAATCACGGAATTGCTGATTCCGAAGGGTTCCTAGGCGACTGAATGCATATCGATTAGTTTAACTCGGCACTGCTCGCAATTCCACTGGTCTCGGTGAGGGCGTAGTCTATCTTACTCAGGTCGTGAGTTCCGCACATTCTGCAGTGTAACCTGTTTGAACGATGTTTTTTTTCCTTTCCTTAAACTGACTGTGGTTCTCTAGTGACAACACTAAAATAAAACACTGAATCTCTTAGCTCAGAGTTGGACCAAAATAAGGCTGCTACAAATTGTATCTTGGGCAAGGTACTCATTGGTATGTTGCGAGTATAACATTGTAAGCAGAGACTACATTTATTACGTAACCGTAATGGTTGTTGTCACTAAAATGTGGTTTCCTTATATAAAGGCGCTTTGGTCGAAGGTGTCCTTAGGTCCGAGCCAGATCAGATTGTTTAAAACCATCTAGTCATCCAAGGGAGAAAAAACGAAAGCGCTCAAGAAAGTCGAGTTGGAGACTACGTTACGAGTTTGCGTATATTGCTTGATAGTGGCACACCGTGACGCTAATTGAGCAGCAAAAGAGTGAATCGTGTGGAGACCACCGTCAGCTCCATTACCTTGGGAGATGAATCACTTCATCACAGGGAAATTGGCTTTTGGAATTACCTTCTGCAGCTTCTATGGAGTGCAATAGTGCAGTATTAATCCGATATCGATTGCAGTCGGTTCCGAGGGGAGAGGCGGGGGTGGGGCAGAGTATGTTCTCGATACGTAGCTAAAAAAGATGTAAAAATGGCTATCAGGAACGGTTATCAAAATAGGTGTGCTCCTCTCGAATTCGCCGTATGTTAACAATTCATACAAATTTCGCTAAAGTTAATGCCTTTTCTGCACATGACAAATGATGGGAAATTACTTATGAAAAACAAGTTTTGAATCAATCGGTGTTGACATCTACAGGCAGAATCAGTTGTAAAGTATAGTTTTCGTACATAGGAGAGTATCAATGCGAGAAAATTCCATGAATCCGGTTAAACATAGCAAACCATCTGCCACTGGTTTCTAAACAATTATAGTGTTGATGGAATCTGATTATAAGATTTGAAGAGTCTCATCAGAGGGGGAAGGGGGCATGTGATGGGACAAATCATACCGCCTTAAGTATTTCAATTTTTTGCACATGCAAGTAAGTTCCGGGGTGGGGATGGAAGCGGAAGCAAACCAATTTTTAAAATCGTTACTGAATGTTACGAAAGACCTACCTAGACGTCGGTGCAATGAAATAGGATCAAAAATTGATGAAGAAAATCCGTTGAAAACATAGTGAAAAAGAAAAACTATTCATAGGGCAATAAGAAATCGCCAGATCTCTTGACTCGATCATCTTGCTATTAATTCGTTTAAACCGCAGTACCAGCGTGGTGTTGGTCGATACCTAGGCTTACCTGTGATGTCTAGGTATCGATTAGCATTCCATCTGTAAGTTTGAGGGGACCGCTGCTGTTCCATAATATTTTGTCATCATTCCATTGCTGTACTATGAGGCCGTGGTTGTTCATTGCTCAATCTATTGATGTAGCCGGAACAGTGTACTTCCGTGCGCATGACTACGTCAGTAGACCGAAAAATATGTAGTCAAAATAGCGCTCAATTAATTTGAAGTGGTTCTTTTTGCTTCATCTTTACAATAGCCTTTCTAATTTCCGCTTAATCTATTGATGTAGCGAGAACCCAATACTCCCGTACTCATTACCTGACGTCAATTCTCGCACTATCTCATATGTCTCACGTGACGTTAGTGAGGGGTGCGCGTGTACTCAGCTAGCCACGCCCCATCAGCGCCAGCCCGCCGACAGTGCCATCGCCCCACCCAGCCAGCGCTCTCCGTGTGTACTTGCCTACTGCTGGCCAACTATTTACGTCAATACCCCGGTCTCGCAGGACTTCGTTCTCAGTTAATACCAGAACTGATTGCTAGCCTAAACCATTCAGTTTAACAGTCCGGTGGTTTTCTTGTATCTCGTCTGGATTTCTACGTCTGCTAGTCATCGCCCAACTCAAAGTTTTCTTTGATTTTTTTTTGTTATTGCGCCGCTTATTTGTGCTTTTTGTTCTATTGAAGTTCATGGTCAGAGAAGCAGTATTCGTGAGTTTGGTGTGTTCATTTCCAGTGATCAATATTCAGTGGAAACCGCAAAATACATCCAGTAATGCTGTTTTTGTCCATTTCTCAAAATTGGATTACTAGACTAGCAATAGTACCTCGTATGATCAGAGCATTCAGTTTTGTTGTTGCGTAAGCGATATCTTTTGATAAATAGATTAGGCAGTTATCTTAATGATTGCCACTATTGCTAGCACAAGATGTAATGATTTCCCGTTAGATTAATTTTCGCTTCAGCAAATGCGTAGTGAGTTTTGGTTTCACCTTCTACTTTTTAGTTTTAGATGTCATACGGAAACGGCTTTTCTGTAAATGTCAATGTGTATTGGTAGCATCTTGTAGGTCTGAGTGTGTGAATCGTTCTTTGCATCCACCATCCGCTGTTTGTTACAATTTGTTACAACTGTGGGGCAGGAACCTTTTAGTCACGAAATGTTTGTGTTTGCGCATTCTCAACTGCCTTATCCTATTTGTTTGATGGAGAAGGATGGTTGAAGACTAAGCCGCGGACAATTTGTTTAGTAGGTGAGGTCAGGTGACAAATATTTTTTAGAACTAGCTGACGGAATAGCGAAACTATGGTGGGGTATTCTAGAAGTTATATTGATCAGACAGACAAAAAGGAAACCCGGCTTTTTCGAAGCCTTGTGTGAAGTTATACGGTAACTTCAGTGATACCTCCCGCTCCAGTTTCTTGCTCAGCATTCATGCTCCGACTGTGGTAGGAACGGAGGAAAGATGTTTGAACACGCACAGCAAAGCAAACCTGGTCGACTAGATACAACTATACGTCGGGTGACTTCGATATGTCCTCGACAAAGGAATATGAACTCACACCCTCTATTTGAGTGATCTTTGGATTTCCGATGTTGCCATTTCCTTCAGTTTACCTGTTATCTCATACATTGTATGAAATCTTTCTGCTCTATTTCTTTTTCCATGTGAAGTGAATATTCATTCTTCATTTGCTATGGTAGCCATCATAAACCCCCTCAGTCGCACAAGATATTTGTCGATCTTCACTATAGGGTCCTCACAACTGAGGATCTTGGTTTCCGTAAATGTATCAAGAGGATTTCCTTAGGGTGCATGCATAGTCGCTCTGACAGCAACGATCCTGTCGCACAGCATTAGATGCGTATCGATCGTCAGACTTGCCTGAGTATTCGACGATCGATACGTATCTAACGCTGTGCGACGTTACGATCGTTGCTGTCGAACGATCGACTATGCATGCGCCCGGACGGATTGTGCCATATTTCAAGTGAGTTGCGTTTCATTGTTGTCCTTGGTGGGTTTTCGCATAGTTTTCTGCCTCGTTATAAGTGGAATACCTCATGTTGTACTCAAAAGCACCGATGTCGTATTCATGCCTAGCTCTTATGTCCTTGACGTCAGTTTGGCGCGATATTGAGCGAGGCAGCAGCCTATGCGTTGTTTTCGCGTCTGGGTCGCGCCAAACCACGTCACCTACACGTGAGCATTGGCCGTCGTCACGCGCCGCAGGGCGTGCCGTCGATGCGCTGGCGGCACTCGCCTACCCATAGACGCGAGTGGATTGCGCACGTCAGTGAAATGCGTCCTCGTCCCCTAGGTTCCGGGTTGACTTTGAGAACGAAGCTAGTGTCTTCTTCAACTACCTGGTTTTCGCTTGCTCTGTGACTTCCTTCTGCTCTTTCTTAAATGGTAGTTTCGTCTTGAACTTTTTTCCACGGCGAGTTTGCCCCACTCTTCAGTTGTGCAAGTGCCCAATGCGATCACTTTTGAAGAGAGTTGTCCGGAACCTTGTGTTCTGTTGAACAAGCACAATTTCTCATTGCTCCGCTGTATAGTTCTGTGTGAATGACCATAAAAGTCAAGGTGTTCTGTGTTTTGTGTGAGTAACTTGCTGGTAGTGATGTGATGTGAGCGATCTGTTGAGAATGGTCTCCGATTTGCCAAGCCACTGAACTGATATAACTGATATAAAAGTTTTAAGCAAATTTCTTTTATGCAGAACTCTGTCCTTTGTCATTATGGATAGGTCTAGCCTTTTTTTCTGGTTTACTGCAGTAATGCAGAACTTCGAATGATTTCTCTGTTATTCTGTTGATTGAAATAGCTCGAGACTCATAACTCGAATGCGTAAGCATACAACTCGATAGAATTGCGCCACATTTCTCGCCTGCCATCGCAGCGCTGTATGAATGCAATGAGCATCACTAAAACGTGTTTTCGCGCTGTGCGCATTTCCTTCCTCAAGAAAGCCACTTATGTTAGGACACACTGGCAATTTCTTAGCTCTCAGACGTGTGATGTTTTCTTTGCTCTTGAATTAGTTTAGAGGTGTGTATTGTTTTTCGTGATATCGTGATTGACCGTTTATCGACTGTTCATTGTTTTCGCTTGAACCGTACGGTATCACTGTTTTCCATCTCACCGTGGTCATTTTAACCCTACTCGCTTTTAGCCCGGTACCCCGCGTTATTTCTCAGGTGGAGATGGAGAATCAGCAGCAACCGTCCACTACTTCTTTGTGCCGGAACGGATGCGGATTTTTTGGATCACAGGTACTGCCCTAACTAAACTTAACCGAATGTTAAACACTTGCTGTTTGACGACCTCCTACTGTTGAGTTAGCTGCTCACTGTCTGACTAATAGAGGTTTTTTCAGGCTAATGAAGGCTTGTGCTCAAAATGTTTCAAGGATTCCATTAAACGTAATCAAGATACTGCCAGATTATCTCCTACTGGTGAGTAAAATATCTTCACGTCCATTTATCATGCAAAAACGCGTTAATGTTAGTGATGCGGCTGGTTTATCGGCGTGTATGCGCCGTATCGATCGGCTGCGACTGGCGGCGTGGCCTAATGGAGAGTGGTAGGGTTTCCAATTTGTTTGCGGGGAGCGGCGCGAGGGACAGACTCGGCTGGGGGGTGAGCGCATATCGATTCCGGCTCTGAAGCCATTACTAAGAACAGACTCTGAAAAACGCTCCTAACTTAACTCAGCAGTGCAGCACGCTGTTTTGTCTTTTACAACGGTCTTGCAAAGGCACCGTGTCTCTGCGTTTGTGGTCCTCCGCAGTGTTTTGCTTGTTCACACACGACGATACATCTTTTAGTGGGGGAGAACTGGATCTGATTAGATCGCACCTACAGCAATGTGGGCGTTTGTCCGTTTTGTAGCAAAATATGAGTTCTGTCTAGAGATGGAATACGAACTTCGAAAGGGGGGTTCAGGTAAAGTTCGGATTACTGCTGAAAACAAAAATTTCACATTTCACCTTCAGACAGCAGGTTTTTGATTATAATGGATATTTGTTGCAGTTCCAATGCCTATGACTGCTTCGTCTTCTCTAATGTCCGACTGCCCTATGTCCGAGCCACCGGCGCAGACATGCGCACAGGCAGCTCATGCTGCTAGTGACGTCACTGCCAAACTTGAGAGTGCTGAAGCAATCGCTGCTAGTCAACCAGAATCCAGGTAAGATTTGTACTCACCATCTCTCAGGGGCACTATCGCAAAATACGGGGGCGTTGTAGTGGCAGTAATCATTTTCTTTCTGAGGCGGAAGAGGAGAGACGCCAGAGTGAGTGAGCAGTTTTCATTGTCTCCGAGGTTGCTGCTTACTCCTAGGCTTAATCTTTGAGGATGCCCCTGTATCTTGCGATAGTGCCCTCACAGGCATATAACGTAGATGTAGAGATACGTGTTAGTCGCTATTGTATGTACAAGGCCTAGAATTTCAACATCAAAGATGTGATATATGTGGCCAAAACCGTCATACGATTATTCAATTACTATTTTGTTGTTATAGTTGCGCACTTGTTAACGAGGCTGCCGCAGTTTCCGTCGATGCTCCCGTTCCTGTAAAGAAGGCTAACCGTTGCCATATGTGCAAGAAAAGAGTTGGTCCTTACTGGTGAGTGGTTGGAATTTGATCAGTGATTTTTTGTCTCTTTTTCTTCGATTAAAATAAACGGTCTAGGCTTCACGTGTCGATGTGGAGGACTGTACTGTGGAGAGCACCGTTATGATCAAGCGCACAATTGTTCGTTTGACTACAAAACGATGGAGCGCGAGGAGATCCGTAAGAACAATCCCGTCGTCGTCTCGGATAAGATTCAGCGAATCTAGGTCACACACACAGCTTGCACTACCCCGTGAATGCGTTTTCCTCATATGATACGCCCCTTCGTCAAGAAAAAAAAATGTATTCCTTCGATTTTTGTGTGTCTTCTTTGTAAAAGCGGCTGCCCCAGTTCAACTGGTCCGGTCGCTAAAACTCAGTCATCATACCCGATTCTCTATAATGAAAATTTGATGTGTAAGTGTGTTTCCTGTAGAGAATACTGGGTCGGGCCACCACCATTTTGCGTTAATGTCCATATTTTCTATTGATTTTTTCTTAGGGTATTCGACTTGTTCCTCCCGACTTCCAAAGTTCTCTCATAGGGACCGCCACAAGCTCTTAGCCTCTGTGATCCGAATGGTCTTTGTTAATGCTTGCTAGGTCGTTTTCGTTTTTGGTATGTGTCTAAACATTGCGATTGGTCAGAAGTCTATATCCGCGACACTCTTCCTCCGTCAAGTAGTCAGGACGCGCGCCCTGTTGCGCGAACGGCGCCGCCCACAATTGCCTTGTGTATTGATTTATTGATTTGTTGCTTGGTTGACCTAGTTGTGTTGAAACAGATTTCTTTTCCCCACCCACATCCATATGCGATTGCTGAGACTGATGTAGTGGTTGGTATATTTCAGTTGATGTTGATTAGGTACTGGAAATCCTACATACCACCGCTTCTTAATGACGCTTCATCGGCAACACAACATCGTTGTTAGTCTCATCGATATGGACGCCGCCTTCCTTCCGTCCCCTCCTCCGTTCGTCCGTCCGTACGTCTTTTTTGTGTCCTCACATACCTAGGTATATCTATTCTTCCTAAGAAGGCTGTAAATAGTATGTAATGAATCGCGAATGATTTTGCAAATAAATGGCTGTGTGATTTTGTTCTGTTATGTTGCTGCCGAGAAATTCCTTGAATTGTCGACAAAAAGCGCTGACGGCACGGTGCGCCTCGACAAGCCAACCTTTGTGCTAGGGGCCAGTGACGCAGAAAGCACTTGTGGTCGACTATTGAACATTCCGGCGGCTGGGGTGCCCAGTCAGCCAGCTGTTGCTACGACATGTTCGATACGGGGACGAGGGGGGATTGGGGAGCGAGGAGTGGTCTCACTAAGGGGGCGCGCGCGAAGCGACCTGACGGTACAGGGTTGCATTGACCCTATGATGTTTGTGAGTATCGGGGTGGGTGACTGGCAACGTGTTTCTGCGGTATCTGTTTGTGCGGTCGGGGCCGCGCCGGCAACTGGAGCGAATTGTTGTGGGGACAAGCCCCGCGTTTGACCTGGCAATCTGAGGGACCGAGAAGATTGTCTAACATGGCTATGTGTTCGTGTGGTGTGGATGGGGGCAGGGGGGGGCATCAGAAAACGCTCATCGCTCACGACATTTCCTGGTATGCAAGCACGCAGATGTTGCGTAGGCATTCATACATTTTCCACCGGTTCCTATCGATTTGCGTGTGTGTGGCAGGCAAGGAAGGCTCTAATGTCTCACTCATCGATATGGTTTTTGGTGCCTCATTTACGTAGTGGATGTTTTTCAATGCCCATGAGAGAAGTTTAACGTCAGTGCCTACATAGGGCTCAGCCATTTAGTTCTTTGAACTCTGAATTTGGTTTGAACACATCAGGCTTCTGAACAACACAAAGTACACAGAGTCTAGAACATTCCCTACATTCGGGCTCCCTACAATTTTCAAGACAGCTGAGAAGCTCGAACCATAAAAGTACACTGCGACATGAAGTCGTGAAGCGATTCAGTAAGAGTGCTCGTTAATGATAATGTGTAACTAACTATAAGTGTTTATAGCCATAAATGAGGTCCTCTGGCCATGGGTTCGAGATGCTTTTTCAGACAGAAAACTTCGATAGAAGAGGAACCAGCGCAATGTTGCTTGGTGGGGGGGGGGGGACAGTCGCCGCCGCGGCGCGCGGCTTGTTCACATACTTCAGCACGGAGCGGGAAATCCGTGAGCCAGGGGAAGTGGGGAGTGTGGCCAGTCCAGGGGAAGTGTATGGGGAGGGGAGGGCGTGAAGCGAGTCACTTAACATGCGTGAAAAACTGGTATGTTCGAGTTTGCACTTCGGCTGGTACTTCCCAAGCCACATTGTGCCAAAGAACCTACCCTTTGTATCCGCGGGCCAGGTGCGTGTCCATTGCGGACTGCACTACACAACTGACGACGGCCTTCACAAAAATAATAGCTCGCTGTTAGCGGGATGATTACCCAATCACAGTTGTGTTATATCAATTGTCACTAATTACAGCTATCACTTATCGCCAGATATTAATACAAACTGCTGGTTATCAGACTTATTCAGAGGCCGTCGTCACTTGTGTTGTGGAGACTGTAGTGCAGACTCCTTTAGCCGTTGGATTCAAATGATATGTATGCTGTTTCAAGCGCATATTGAGAAAATCACTTGTATGACCTGGCTGGAGTGGCGTTTTACGGGTTCCACGGCAAGCTTTTTTAATCTGATTCAGTTGGTATTTCCCGATTTATTTTTGAGCGAAAATCTGCCAATAATTCTATTAAGATTAGAACACTTTGGATTTTCCGTGCCAGAAAAAATTGTAGTAATGACTTTGAATTGAAAAAATGCTAAACAAATCGAATTGAACGTTACTCCGACGTATGTCTGACGTGGTGCACATGGTACACCACGCGGAGCGCAATGGGCTCACCCGAGCTCTATCAGTTGCCATGATTTTTTTAAACTAGACTACCAAAACACCATATGGCATCGATCAAAAATGACATTAGCCAACAGTGCAATGCGCGAAATAGCAGCGCGACCGCGCGCTTACTTTTCACATGATGCGACCATGTTAAGATCTGCAGCATTGATTGAAATTGGACAGTTCCGTGTCTTCCAAGGCTGAGGACACGAAAATTGATCTAATTAAAAGGTGAATGAAGATTTAAAGATCGTACTTTTCGTTGCGAGAAAGATGAAACGTTCTTTCATTCGAGAACATTCGAGAACGTTTTTTCAGTCGATGGTCGTTCACTGAATTGTGTGGTACGTGTTGAGCAAAGTACTTTCGCGCGAAAGGCGATTACAGAAAAAAGTACTCTGTCCATGATTCATGATCCTCCTAAGGGTAAAAAGCAACACGAATCTAATTCGTTCTGACGATTAGAGGTGCGAAAGAGCGTGAACGAAGATGTGTGGACGACATCTTCTTTGCGAGGACAACAACTTCGGATCAAGGACGCACGTCGAAAAGAATCGATGCGCCGTGCCGTCGCTGCCCCCCGGGTTTGTCGTGCGCTCGTTTGGGCCAAGGTGCCCTTTTCAAATGGCAAACACGAGTGTTTGTGAGGAAAGGATGAGTCGTGACAAGTTCTGTCGTCAATGTGTCGTCGGCGGCAAGGAGGAGCGAGCGACGAAGCTGCTCGAGCACTTCCCCCGTCTAAGACGCCCGATCGATGTGTGCCGAGGGTGTTGTGTGGGCAGCATCGTAGACAGCGAATAAGTTCCGCTATGAGCACAAGAGGAACGGTCACGATTCCCGTCACCTTCCTCACTTCCTCGTCCCAGTCGATGTTGATGACAGCGAATTTCGTCTGTGAGTATTTGTAAGGTTTTGTTTTCGTGATGAGGGCAAGCCGGGGCGAAACACGGTAACGCTCAGCGCACTTTTCGGCTCCCTGATATCCTTGCATAAATGATTAACGAGCAGTCGGGGCACTCATTTGACGTCTACGCACCAGCTCCCATCACTGAGTCACGTTTTTCTCCAGAGAAGTATATCCCCAGGCTATCTCTCAGATTTGGTCCCTAGCATGAACAAGCATTCGTCACAGAATCCGCATGAGCAGAGGGTGAGGGGGGGTCTGAAAGGGTTGCTTTTAAAGGTTTATCAATCATTTTTTGCGGTTTTCAGACGTCAAAAGAAGTTTAAAAAACATCGGCGTTTATCTTCTGCAACCTCACCTTCTTTTCTCCCCCCACCTCGTCCTTCGCCAATCCACCCCAAATTCACGTTCTATGGGGCTTTCAAGAGTTAAACTGAAAGGAGTAGGTTTAAGATGTTGAGAGGAATGTCTACAAGGAAGATTTCCGCATCACCATAATTGATCCTGGTCCCAGAAAGGGCACAAATCAGTTCACGTGCGACTCATGTGAGCATGTTCCGCCTCTAGAAAGGTTTCTACTGATTCAATCTCACGTGAAAAGTTGCCTAACTGGCTTCGTCGAGGTCCGTCCGCTCTTCGGCGAGTTGCTCAAGGCCGGCTTGCGAATAGCTGAACGGGCAAGGCCTATGAAAGCAGCGACGGCACTAGTGAATTTAGTACTCGACAGGGACATGCTTTTCTTGGTGAAAGGAATTTTGCGTGACAGAAGTGCCTCATCTGAACAAAAGATGCACTTGAAGTTCTGCAATTACGGACTCCCCAGGGCAACTTTTTGATTAACGTGCCGTGCGAAAAGGTCACATGTGGAAGAGCCTATTTCCTTCTCGGAGTTCTGAAAAGGTCACTTTCGGTTGGGGCTTCTTCTACACTTCAATCAAAAGTGATTTTTTTTCAAAAAACCTTCCCAAAACCTAGCTCTGCCACAGCATGTGTTCGAAAATAGCTATTGATTTTGCGCGCACGATTGGTGCGCAATTTTCTAATGTAAACGAGTTGGCAGTTTGAAGTGCTTAATAGTGCCTAATTGATC